ATGTTGAACATTTACTAATAAATTTAGGTTTTGCCCATGTCAAGCACTGTTGTTTCATTGTATGTACCAGGCTGAAAAATATGTACTGAATAGAACACAACAAATACGTGTATCATTACACCCTACTAATGAACCAATTAGAGATTACATATACTTATTTTTCCATTAAATATTTAACAAACATTGTATCCCAAATAAGTGATGATAATTTACAGCTTCACGCCTTTAATAGCTCACACAGCTGAATCTGTGCCTTGCTTGTGGGTACAAAAGCAGATCCTCTCCTGACATGGCAATCTGCAGTGTTTTGGCCATCATTAGAGTTCTTTCGCAAGCAGTCATTAGTGAGAAGTATTTAAGGAAAATGAAATACCCTGCTGTATAAGCCATTTTTGAAATGCTGGATCTTTAATAGCCAAGCCTGAATGTGAAAAGCATGTGTACTCCTCCAACAGAAATAAATCAGTTTCCAAACATTTTAAAGCGTCAGTCGTATAACAATGTCCAACCAACCACAAATGCTTTCTAACCAAAGATAATCAAGTATTGTGGCTTTGTGGTAACAGCTGAAATGTGCTTTTCATCTGTTTTTTTCTGAGGGTGAAACTCTAAGCCACAGCTCATCTTAAGGACACACAAACAACTATTTCAGAATCTATGAAGTACTTCTACAAAAGTATTGAGGAGTCAAAATGACTATCCCTTCAGCAGAGTATTTCACAGATCGGCATCATCACTAAACTGTATGCCATTAAATTCAATAAATTAGCTACAGTGTAAAGTGTGAATAAAAACAATGAGCTTTCGATAAAACCCTAAAAAGCTGTTAAGAACTCCAGGTGCTTGCCATGTAGCTGTTGGCAGTTTAACAAACAGATTAGCCCAGTTGCTGTTCTGTGTCAACACGGCAATGAACACTGCACAGTGTCTACATGCTCAGACATCAGGTAGCAAAGCTGTGAACGCAGTTTTCCGCAAAGTGATACAATCCTTGGCTCAAGCCACAAGCCAGCCATGACAGTTTAGAACCGCAGGAGTGTTGAGGAGGTGCTTCTTGAATTATTTCTAAATTAGTTTTACAAGGGTTATCTGGTGCCTTGAGAAGCTCTGTCCAATGTTCCATAAAGTACTGTTTTGGTTATTTATTATTTTTACAGACAAATATTACCGTTTGACTTTCTAAACAATTTATAATGTTTAATGTTTAAACTCATGCATCTTAACTTTCATCACCCTGAAAAACATTAACATAAAGTAGGACAAAACTGCATTGCCTGTGATGACATATGTAGCTCTATTCTGTAAAACCAGGAGATCTTAAGAGGTTGCAATGCTTTCTAGCCATGTACATAGTTTTCCCCACCATGAAATACCCAGCACATGAAAGAACTATTATCGGAACAATTAGTTTTCATGGGGAAGGTATAGATTACTTTTAATCACTGTCAGCACTGGCAGGTACAAAAAGATAGTTTTCACAAACAAAGCTGCAAAAAATATGCGTGGGAAATTCAGTGTTTATCACTATGTTGCAGTGAAAGAATCCCTTCTCTCAACACTCTATACGATAAAGCTGATACCTAAAATTGAGCTGTTATAGTTTCATGGTAATTCAGATTTTATATCCGTTTGGCTTGTACTTAATCAAATAGACAGGGTAGTTCTTGCTTCCCACACTAGTCTCCAACAAAAATGGTAGCCATTTACTGAACAAAAAGCCAAAACTTCAGTGGAATATTACAGTTTATAGCTATGTAATAATATCTACACATATCTACTGGAATTTCAATGAAACATTAACAATGCATACTTTTCCACGTGTGCTAAAAAGATCAGCACACCTGTTACATTATATGTCCATTATTATATACATCTGTAATCGTGCCATATTATATGAACAAAAAAATACATTCAAAAAATACTCTTTTTATATTTTTTTGTACTTTTTTAGATTTCAAAAAGCCAGCCTGTATCATGAGGCACTACTGAGCATAACTGAGCAAGAACTGAGCAACACGAACCCCAGCAAAGCCAGAGAACTTTCCCTGTGAGCCATGGGAGAAATGCTTGTAAGGTAAGGTAAAGCCCACAAAGACTTTACAACTCTGATCCTATTGTTCAAGCCACAAAGGGGTTTTCCCTCCCAACCAAAAGGGAGTTGTTTCACGATTGTTACCTTTTCTATGGCATGTTTGCATCATGACACCCCAACTCCTCAGTGCAAGATCAAAGGCAATCACCGCACCGCCAAATGAAAAATGGACTAGGTGACCTGAAACCAGCAGCTGAATGTAAGAGGCACCAAAGTATAATAGCTAGCGGTACATTTTAAACACTTTCACTTCACAACTGACAATGTGGTTGTTTAAATCAGTCAATCAAGGCAAAGCAGAACCTTACTGCCTCTTTCCTACACTCCATGTTCATTTTGCATGACAGTACTTTCATCGCACAGCACATTCCACTACCCAACAAATAAACAACCAGATACATCAAAACTAAACTCCGTTAAAGAAAAATCATTTAATATAAATACATTTCAAATAAAGTTAGTCTTATATGTCAGTGTCAAATACATCAATGAGTTAGATTTTTGAGAAACAGACTTTTGGGAAATCTGTTTCACTTTCTGTCACATATCAAATAAATATATAAATTCGGGGGCTTCAACCAAAACATTCTATAAATAAAAGAGATTTTTCTGCATTGATATAGAAAAAATATATATTTTTAAATCATTTTAAATGTGAATAGAATATATTTTTATCTTCAAATTTTTAGTTGGCAGAAAATTCACATATAATTCCAATTCGTTCATGAATAATGTGTTAAAAATACACTAAAAATTATAATAAAACATGATAAAAAAAAATCTTATATTTAAAAAAACAGACAAAACTAAAATAACTCAGTCTTGAATCTGAACTACTCCTCTTAGCTTTAAACAATTCAAGACCAAACTACCCTATCTATCTGACTGACAAAAAAAGCTTCGCTTGGCCAGTTCATGATTATGACAGAAAATAAAAAACGTCTAAGTTAATCAGTGTTCTCTTAAAGGTAATGAACATAAGAAAAAACTGAAACACACACACTTCGGACATTACCAGCATTTCACAAAAATAAATCAAACTACATCTCATAAATTACAGGTCAAGCAAACACATTATTTGTTGTTTTAAAAATAGAAACCGTGGATGGTAATTCCATAAATGGACAACAGTACCTTTTTGCCTTTTGGGGCATCTATATATATATATATATCTATAGCATTTCTGTGGAAATAATTCAAGAACCCGGATATTGTTTCAGCTTTGTTGCTTTAATGTTATGCAAAAAAATGGCTTTAGAGCAGACTACCGAAAAATCATTGAGAAACAAAAACCATGGTTTACATGGCTTAAAAATATGAAGTATGGAGGTTGACATACTTTAGAAAGAACAGAAATTAAAATGATGCCTAAAAAGTCAAATATACAATAAATACATTAGAATATCGGAGAACATTTTAAAATATTGATTAAACTAATCATTAAAATCATTAAACTGATAATGATTAAACTACATTTACAATTGTCAATTTTAAGTGCAATAAAAATACACTAGTAATAACATTTGTGGTGTGCAATGGTCATTCAATACTTGTTAACTTTTATACTGTATTCACGTAATTAATTTCCTAATTTTAAAATGACTTTTTTGGAATTATTTTTTTGGAAAATATTCCTAAGATTATATATTTTTGTTTCTGGTAATATTCTTAAACTCCAGTTTGTTTAGCTTTTAAAACGGGACACATTAAAACTTTTCATTTACAATTTCAAACCTATACTTCTGAGCACTCTATATAATATATTTTTTAAACATTACAGACAAAATCCAAAGAAGCTCTAACACTACATGTCTAATGGCAGATATTTTTTCCCACATACAAATGTGTGTAAATAGTGAGTTTACTCATGAGACGCGATCATATTTGCAACAGTTCAAATGGGATCTAGAAGTGCAAATTTATCAAATCTATCTGTTTATCACACAGAAAAAGGCAACTTCTCCAATCTCACAAATTTAAACTATTGGTTTCAGGGTCAAAAATATAATTACAAAAGTTATATGAAGGGCATTTTTTTCATGAAAGAAAATTTTACAATAGTTTATCATTTGTAATTGTATGAATATGTATTTTTAACAATCCAATAATGTGCTTCATCAAGGCTAAAGCAAAACTTGATTGCACTGGGTTGCTTAACATTTCATGCAAAGGTTACAGTAAACAGTGCATTGTGATTTCATATAAGGGCTCGATATATCAAGTTCTTATTCAGGCATTAGTGTCATTATCCAAGTCATTGTTTACACTGTACCTTTATTCAGAACTTAGTTAGTTATAACAATTCATACTTTTTTGTTAAAAATGTTAATTGAAAGACAACTCAGTAAAGCACTCGCTGATTAATATTGACGCTTTCAAACAGACTTAGTTTCAGCATGTAGTTATCACTAATTTTACAAAATTATTATTTTATATTATTATGATAAAATTTGACATGGTAGCATCTTAAAGAGAGACAGAAAGGTGTCTTTTTGCAAACAAAATAACAGACCACATTTGAATACTTCCAGTCAAGTTCACAGTAAAGTAGTTCAATCATGGCCTTGCACAACCTTTAACTTGACCAGGATGGAAAGTTATGAAGCTTATGAAAATATATTGTACAGTTTAATCTACCAACCTCTAAAAACACTCTTACATTGGTGTCATGCTTTTTTTCCTTAAAATGACTGCAAAATCAATTTGCTGTCAAAATTAGAATTTTTCATGTGTTTTTATATAGACCAGAGACCTCATAAACAAACCCATACACAACATACAGTGCCATTCAATGCTTAAAACAGATTCACAAAAATGAATTTGCATGATCGAAAAACTTTATGTATATGAACCAGTCATTTCACTTGCAAATACCTTTTCCAGTAACATTTACAGATACTCTACTCACCTTTGTGAGGGCTCACTAACAGTATTCACTCCTGGGACCCCCCCTGGAGCTTGTCCAGGGAGTTTGTTTTGTCCGTTTTTGAGACTCTCGACATGGCCCTCAAAAATACGCTTGTCCCAAGCCGGCTTCATGATGGAAAAAATCCACGTCCACCTCTAAAATGAGCGGATCCAAAATGACAACTCTAAAGCACTTTCCGAGCAAGAAGCCACACAAAACCAGCCCTGAAGGAATCCCCCACTGCAATCAGACAAAGAGGAAAGAGCCAGCTTGTAGCAGGCAAGTTTGACTAACTTTGTTCCTCAGTGCAGGACCAACAGCACTACATGCCAAAAGCCCCCCTCCCCCCTCCACTTTCCTCTTTCCAAATTAGAAAATAAAGGGCAAGGACGCAGGAGGACCTCTTCAAAGGAGACTGCACCAGGGGCTGGAAGAACATTTAAAGGAAAGAACAGGAGGAAGCGCAAAGGACACTTGACCAATCGCAGTTGTGGGGGCCCACACACTGAGAGCAACGCTTACAGATATCCCCATTAGCAGTCTCCCCACTGGGTCTGAGCCTGGTGGAACCTCTCAGTAGGTGTCTAAGCACTTTAACATCTGTATCAGTTAAAGATTATCTCCAGAAAACTGCTTAAGATTATTACAATTTTGTGGTGGCCAGTTGTCTAAAGCTGCTGTATCAGCAGCAACGGACTGGAGCATTTTCATGACATACCTTTGCGGGAGAATGTCAGCAAACAGCAGTAGCTCTATAGCTGCAAATTTTTGAGTAAAAATATGTCTAAAGAATTCTTACTGACATATACCTGCTATTAATTCAAAGAAATTAATAATTATTTTTTAACTCCTCAAGAAAGCCTAAATATATTTTGAACCTTTCACGGTTATCATTTACAGTTTTTTCCCATCCACTACATCAACATTCATTCAAAACTAAAACCTAAAACGCTTTTATGCTCAAAAAGCCTTTTATGTTGTCAGTCGGAAACACGATCTCTATAATAATGGGGCCTCTGCTACCGCATTAATGCACCTTGAAAAATTCATCTTGCCATCTGTAGAAAAACAACAGCTATCAAGGCAACTGACAGTGCTCTCAATGTAAATTAAGCAACAACATCAGTAGAGTTCTCTAAAAGACTGAAATCTGATTACAGAGTCAGCAACAAAATGGAAGACAAATTTAGGTATATTAACACAGTCTGGGAGATTTTGACAAACCAAATGCAAAACACAAGCCCAGCTGGGATTATCCAAAAATATAGCACATCAGAAAAAATACATGTAACTAAAAACATCATCCTATTACACAAACAGTGTGTTCTTAAGTCCCGGAAGGAGTTTGAATTCAGTTTGCCTCTGGAATCTTTCCCATCATTTGTTATAATACATTCCTCCAAAAATCAACAACAATTCAACAAATTGCATAACTAAAACAGTAATAAGAGACTAATAATGATTGATAGTGACTGACTGATAATGAAATGGCAATAAAAAAAATTATAATCCCAACACCCCAAGCCCCTAGGTGAAACAAAGCTCTCAATGACAATCAACAGTATTTATTTTTGGCCCATACGTAAGAGGATACCATTAATATGACACATCTCAAGCCAAAATACACAGCACAAAACAAAATGTCCTCTTTATGACGCAAACCTCACAGAATCAAAAATGCAGGATTCTGTGTATGTTTAACTAAACTATGGCATTATTTTTGATACTGAAAATATAAATAGTAGCTCTCGGATTATTACAGTTGTTGTAGTGATATTTTGTCTCATATAAAAGATATATCCTTTCCTTCATGTGCCGGTTCTGTATATCAGTGCCACACCTTTCTTAATTACAATAAACCAAAAACACTAAAATAAACTCCAGCATGGCCACTGGCCACGTCATGTTGGCCAGACGCCTTTTTCTAAGTGTTAAGTTATAAAAGGCTCCCTATTCATAAGATCAGTTTTCCAGAAAATTCTTAGTACAGCTGGGAATGCCACTCAGTGCCACAGCCCCAGTCAGCCAGAAAAAAAGAGGCACTGTTCATCTTACGACAGGTTTAAGCAGGCATGTGTGAAGCCATTACCAGGATTATCATTATGATTATATTAGTTTCATTTGTTCACTGACTGTAGTTGGAATGAATAGTTGTGTTTTCTCAGGTTTTTTTCTTGCAGTTATACATGTTTAACCCTAGGATGTTGATCAATGGCCATGGTATTTATTGTCCCTTGCTGCCTGTCTTTCAGAATTCACTACGGGGTGTGATGATTTAACTAGTTTGTGTGGTCTTCTCTCTGTGTCTTTGTCCTTGACACACTGTGCAGCGTCACACGTGACCTCATAAAACTGGCTTAAAAAAGCCACAAGCTACCATAATACAAAATATAAATTCCACCGCTGTAACATGAGGACCCGCTGCGTAGGACAATTCACTGCCTCTTGTGTGTTTGAATATCTATTCAACAGTGTATATGTTTTTTGTGGTTGTGGGGAAGAAAATCCAAAAATCGCTAGACCTTTTGTAATAAATAATGAAAGCTAACTTGGCAAGCCAATATAAAATCTTGTGAAATTTTAGGAGTGTAAAATAAAGATTTATGATCAACAAAAACGCATTTTGACTAGTATTACTTAAAATTATTTTCGTAAATAATTATTTTAAATTTAAAATGCTTAGTAACATTTAAATATGAATGCATGCAAATTATTACAATTAAGATATAAAATAAATTTAAGCAAACATCACCTTAATAAAAAAATAATCTGCTCTCCGCACCAATACCCATTATATCAAAATTATGTGTACCATCAAGCTGTCTTATGCAGCCACACAAAACCTCAGAGATTGCAAATGTTCCCACAATAGCTCACGGAACTGACAAGTTTATTGGTCCTGACACAGAGGGTAGGGTCCAGTACTCACACATGGCACCTGTTGAACAACAAATTAACTTGCACTCAGAAGTTTATAAACCCAGACAGATTAATGCGTTGTTTATCAAAGCAGCCTCACATGATTATAAACATATGATTGTAAGTTCAGGGTACGGGGCTGTTTTGAGATGGAGTAATAAGCAAGCAAATAGTGGATAGACAAGGCAGGTCTTGCATAAATCCAGTGACTGGCTGAAAAGAGTAGCCAGATCAGTACATATGGGACCTTTACATTGGGTCTACAAGACGAAACATCAATAAGTCATACAAAGGATTTTATATTTTTCAAGCCCTGTGTACAAGATATCTCACACTTCCATCCACAAAAGGCTGAATAAGTATGTGACTGTCTTGTATTGGAAACTCACATGCACACATATGTTCATCAATTACCTCTATTAAATATAGTAAAAGTATGCTAGGTCTTGAAGACAAAGGTGATCTTTAAATATAAAATTATGTGAATTAACTATAATATTGATCACAAGCAGCACCACAACGAATAACAACGATGCTGTGAAACACAAGCAGTGACCTGCTGCGAAAAAATATTTCCAGTGTCCTTTTATCCTTTGAGTCTAGAAGACCATCCAGTTCACAGTCAAGTAAAAAACAGTGCTCTCGAGTAATAGCTAAGAATAATAACAGGCTTCATCACCCACAAAAGCCTTGTGATACCTGCAGCTGGTGCTATTTTAATCCCCTGCAATATGTGCCACAGGCCACAAACTCAGCACTACAGCCATGCACTATGCGTCACCAACCCTCTCTCCCTGCTACAAAACCGTGTCCTTTTTTATTCACAAAATGATCTAATGAATATTATCTAAGTATTTTGGGCTTCTATACTTGACAGATCTCTTCAGCAGACAAGCATTCTTTCTAAATAGCTAGAGAACACCTCCAGCTGCCTGTTGCTTATCTAAGTCACACTGTTATCAGCATTCCTCAGCCATTACTACTACCGCATTTGTTTTTAATGAGGCCTGTCGCCCCATTTTCAATTAATTCAATGACTCACAAAAGTATTTATAGCTTTGAAGGTCAGTAACACAGGACCTTAGGAAAAAGAAACTTTCTAGTGCACAATACTTCTAAGTGAAATAGCAAAATAAAATGTTTAATATATTGACACATTTTTGGAAAAAAAATCTAAAGTATAATTTTCTGAGAAACATCAATTAAGTACTTGCACCAGCTGAAAACCAAAACTGTAGTCCAAAAACATGAGGCAATTCATGGTGCATTAAAATGACAAAACATTAAATGGCAGGCGTCAAAATTATTATTTTAATGCAAGATACGTTTCTACATAAAACAACACAGTTTACCTCTGGGCAGAAACTTTCAAAACCTTCAAACAAGGCAATGACCTTCATCAAAATCAAAATAATTTTATGAAGGCTCTTTTGGAACTCTTTGATTTTGAGCTTTACTGCCACCTATTGATACAATACAAGATTTACCGGTAACAGATGCACCATTTTTCAAACCATTTATTACAATGGTTTCATATCATAAAAACCCAGTCTTGCTGCAAATAATTAATAAAAATCCATCAAAAGAGTTGTAAAAAACTGTTTCTAATCTTATTTTGATACGAGACTGTTTATTTATATATAAAAAAAACATCTAAAATGACAAAAATGACAAATCGGTATATTTGCCATAACCAAAAATATATATATATCCTGTTAGCCTAAATGACTGGAACTGCCATAGTACAGTATACATATAGTGTTTCCCCTACCGTTGTATTAGGGGGGCGCCCCGCTCCCTCTTGAAGGTTAAGTTAATTATATTTAATTTTATTTTCTATATAGCGCCAGATCACAACAGAAGTCATTTAAGGTTACATTTCCTATAGAACATGTCTATACATTGTCCTTTTACTAAACAAAGCAGCCTTATCTTATTCACACACCAGCTTGTCATTTTTGTCTCTGCACGGTCACGCGTTTAGTTCTCCTCTGCTCTCTGTATCGCGCACGGCGGAGTTCCGCCCCGATGCGCGCGCACAGAAACGTGCGCGCACACACAGGTGAGCAGACTCACCAGCGGACAGAGCGCGCGTCGGAAAATATGTTGCGTCAACCACCTGAAAAGCAGACAAAAATATCTACGTTTTTAAAACGCTCCCAGGGTGGTGAAGATGACAACACTCGCTAAACTAGTGGCAACACTAAAAAGAAATGTTCTGATGTTTAGTTCAGTTGTTATATTGACTGCTGTCATTTAAAAAACACATGAACACCATGAATCCTGTCGGTGTCCATTTGCCCCCCCCCCAAAAAAAGCTGTAAACCTCGGGGAAACACTGACATATTTTCCATGTATAATTAGTATGTGGAATTACATGAACGTTTAAATATCACTGTATTCTGTGGAAATGTACCACACGACGTTTTCCTACCTGATGGGACCGAACGCCATTTTATTTCGTCGTCTTGGGTGAGACTGGCTTAAATCACCTCACGTTTAACGATACGGAGATGTGAAACGGCTCAAACGCAACGGCCGGCACGCGCCGTTCCCGCCATCTGCTGCGCAAGTAGTTCCGGTGGGTTTCCTACCGCCGGAGCGGATGACCATAGACGCAGAAGCACGGAGAACGTATGTGTATGTTTGTATGCATACGCACGAGAAATAGGTAAGATGCCTTATGATTAGTATTCACTTAACGGTTACTCTCCATTCAGTTTAAGCATCCTGCTTCAAAGGCAGTATAAGTTTTTGAGTGCATACACATTCAAACGAATTAGAAAACATCACAGGTAAACAATCAGCTCTTTTAAAGTTGAGTTTGTTTTTATTCTAACAACATAAGAAAAAAACAACGTACGAGAAGATGCTGTGCTATAACCAGTTATGTTCTTGTTACCTAAAACTGCAAAGAGCAGACAGTAAAATACAAAACAAGAAAATAGAAACATCAGCAAAACAGACAGAAACCAGGAAATGCACTAGAAGGTTATTTATAAGAAATTAATAAAAATGGGAGGTGGCAATTAATTTAAAACCGCAAATCAATCCTGAACATGCAGGCCAGTTTAAAATGTTGGCGACAGCTACAGCTTTAAGGGAGGTCAGAAGGAAATGAAAGCAATCGGAGGAGACTCCTCCGCCCAGCTTATGTGGTGTACCGTGTTAAAATACACCAGTCGCACAGTAATGGGCCAAGTCATTTACCCAGATAGTGCCCTCTAAGAATACTTCAGGTTATTACTGGCTTGTTTTAGGTGAGGCCTCTTCCACCCTAATTCAGGCAATGGCATGGGGTGCGTAACCTCTGGAACAAAGTCTACAGCCTGTTCTATTTCTGCTCTGCACTGAAACACCTAGAACATTCAAAACAGCAAGATATACAATTCCATATATATATATATATAAAAAAAAAGATAAACAAAAGGTATAAGTTGGGCGTAAATATGAAATGAACATACAACTTTTTCCTTTAACAGACTGCTGTGTTCAATTCCGTAGGCAATTCTTAGGTACAAATTTACCACCTGGTATTTAATCAACCTACCACCACTAATTTGTGGTTTAGGATTTAGTCATTACCCAGTTTTTTTCTTCAGCTGAGTACTGAAAGAAAACAATTACTGAAGACGTATAGAGGGAGTGTGCCAGATAGCGGAAACAGTAGTACAGAAAGCCGGAAAGCTGGTAACAGTGCATGCAAGACAGAGGGGGGGCGCTTCTGCTCATCCGTGCGTGGTGTCATCCTCCACGAAGTCTTTAGCCTGCTCCGCTGATATCACATCAATGTGACTCACCTGCAAAACAGCAAATCCGGCATGAATACGTCCCACATGTGCACGCTTACCCTCAGAATCACGGCCGAAACGTTCAATTTTATCCGCCGCTGACCTTGTTCCGGAATTTCACCCCGTAGAACTTGTCCGCCGACTCCAGAAGCTCAGGCCTGAAGGTCGTCGTGATGAACTGCGCATGTCCAGCCAGCTCCACAATCATATCTGACAAAAATCGAAAACCGACTTCAGAAAAACCGAAGCGGACTTCAAGGGGCAGGGAATGTCAAATAAAATGCAAATTTTAATGTCAAATAAAATGCAAATTTTAATGTCAAATAAAATGCAAATTTTAATGCACACCGCCCATTACTAGCCAATAAGCAATCAGTGCACTTCCATGAACTGCATCAGGTCTGACAGCTGACAGGGCCGACTAATGGAAATACCGGCACAGTGAATTACCAGACACGGCCTTCCTGTGTTGAGCATCCAGGGCCTGGTCGATTTCATCAAACAGGTAGAAGGGCGCCGGGTCGCATTTCTGAATGGCGAAGATGAGGGCGAGAGCCACCAGGGATTTCTGTCCTCCTGATAGCTGCTGCATCTCTCGCATCTCACCTTGCTTCCCCGTGAAGGACACCTGCAGCACGGGCCGCGTGATAAAACGTGAGCCACTCATTACCATTCCAGATTCCTCCGCACCGAGTTTCTCAGTAAGGCTTCGTATAAAGGGATAAGTGGAAAGATGTACTGTTCTCAGACAATGGGTCTGACTCATTTTTATGAGCCAATAAAAGCACAACAAAGTGCAGATGGAGACTAAGTGAGAAATCTGGAGGCTGACTTTTCAGATACACGAAAAGGAATATATCCAAGAGACAAAATGACTGAGAGACTTAACTACGCACTGACAACTGTACAAGTTTCTAACAAAGTTCGAAATCTGGGGCTAGTCTTACCCTAATTCCCACTCCAGTGAACTGGTCGACAGAGGGAACGCTGCTCTGGGACCCCGAACCCCTCTCGCTCTCCGCACCGCCCTCCCCCTCATCTTGTGATTGGTTCCCCTCGGCATCCCCTTTCTTCATCACCAGGGTGGCCTTGCCCCCGGGTACAAGCTTCTGAAAGACCTCACTGAAGTTCTTTGACACCTGGGTTTCAGGGAGGGGGAGGAGCCAAGAATGTCAATACATATAAAATACTGACTTAACACTGACTCAACCCAGCGACTGGACCTTATCACTGCACTCCTCACTGAAAGATGCCACTCGCCTGTTTGAAGGTCAGCTGTATGGCTTCATACTTCCGTAGCTCTAGAACGTTCATCAGCTCCATGATGGACTTATAGCCTCTGTCCAGCTCATCCTGCCTCTTGATCAGCTTCTCTTTTTGCTCTGAGAAGTTCACGAACTGGTCCAGGGCCTTCTTGTTCACGTGGCTGTACTTCTTCAGCTCCGTATTGCACTGCTCTAGCTTTCGGAACAGCTGAAATGACACAAGCGGCCCACAGGGCGCGTGAGTGAGCGCAGTGCTGCCAGTGATGGCATGGGCTTTCTGGGCAACTGTCCTGAGAGGCTCAGAGAAGAGCGCACTCCTCACCTGTTTGAGCGTGAGCGTCTGGTACTTCTCAAAGGCCTCCTGCGGCAGTGAGCCCAGCTCCCGGATCTTCTTCATGCACTCCTCCTTCTTCTTGAGCAACATCCCCTGCCGGTTGGTCATCTTCTCCAGCTCCTTTGTGTCGTGGTTAATGGCGTCGTTCTGCTCCTTCTCGATGTTCTTCCAGCGATCCATGCTCTTCATATGATCTTTCACCTCAATTTCCATCTTGTCAATGAGTCCATCCAGATCTGTGGACCAGGGGGTTACAGCATGTTTAAGCCACATTAAAAACTATCCTGACCTGAATTTTCACCAAAAAAAAAAAAAAGTTAAAAAACATTTAACCTCATCCCCAGCCTTCATTGAGATACAGTCTAGCATAATGCTAAATTAACCACCTTCTGAACGCGCCATGGTGTCCTTAATGCGTTTGTTGATCCCGTCCAGCTCTGACGTAGTAGCGGTGAGAACTGTCCCTCCCTCCGTCTCCCTGAGCTCATTCAGCTCCTGCGTGGAGAAAAGGCTGGGGGTCACAGGTCACGCGCCTTTAAGAAATGCGACGTCGGCACGCACAGCCGACGCGGCCCACCTGTTCCACTTGGTCCAAACGCTTCCTGAGGTTCTCGTTCAGGTACGTCTCCACTCTGGTCATGATCCCCTCTAGCTTGATTCTCTCGTTCAGCAGCTGCCTGTTGTCCTACATCGATGAAATAATAAACCGTTTTTAGTCGCATTTTACCGTATTCGCTGTAAAAAGCGCAGCAGGCCGAGAAGCTGCAGCACTGAATGCTGAAACTTCAACTGGAGTCACCACAGTCTGATCTGGGGGTGTTCTTGGGGCAGCATAATAAAATAATAAAAAATAATAAAAATGAAGATAGCGCACCTGCTGCAGCTGCCGGATCTCATCATTGAGGTCATCCACTCGCCGCTGGTCTTCCAAACTGAGCTGAGCCAGCAGATCTGTCCCCAGCTCCGCTTTCAGGGACTCGCGCGTCGACTCCATGGCGTGAAGGCTTGCCTCCAGGCTCTGCAAGCTCCGTTGCTGGGTGGGGGATGGGAAGTAGCCACACATTACAGTGAGCGATTAGCCAAAGCACAGCTACGAACTGTACTTACAATAGCATTGCACAGTACCAGTACTCCAAAAGAATTGCATCACTTTTATACCATTAGATATCTAAATGTTAGGGTCGCTACTGAGCACACTCAGACGTCGCCCTATAAAATCAGGCCGAAGTCGTCATGTGACCCTGTACAGCGAATGGCCCGTCACCTTGGGCATGAAGGTTTTCTCCGACTGCTGCCTCTTCTCCTTCAGCATCTTCATCTCGGACAGGATACTGTCCCGCGAGGCCTTGAACTTCCTCTGCTGGGTCTCGATCTGCTGCATCTGGTTCATCAGCTGATCAATCTCATTGTTGATGCGTGTAGGTCGCTAAGGAATGCAACGCCATATCCAGGAGGAAAGACTACCATGTGACACACTAGGGGGCGCTATGAGGTTACTGTAATCGCCAAGCCCCTCATTCTTTCAGGCTAATATCCATGGGTTTAACATTGGCTCCCATGAGTCAGATGTCCTCTAGGTCTGCCGTGACCAATCCGACTGATGTACACACACGCGCGCACACACACACAGCGAACCAAAGGACACGACGCAGGGTGTCCAATCAATCATCTGCTAATGGATGATGGTGCCGATGACTCACACGACAGGCTTTCTGACATCTGCTAATCTACCAAGCACGCTCCCGATCTGCTCAAGAAACAAATGCTGCCTTAAATCCCCTGGCCCCCCCATCACAGACAAACGCCCTCGCAAAGCGAGCAGTCGTGACAGTCGCACACCTTGCCCCCCCCCCCGTAAGAAAGAGCTTGGGAAAGATATGTTCGATGTTGCGCCGCAGGTTCTCGTTCAGCTTGGCCTCCAGTTCGCCCAGCTCCTCCTCAGCCTTCCTCATGTCCTTCTGCAGCTCCAGTCGGGACTTCCTGGTGTCATAGTACCCCCCTGTGAGAGCCCCCCGATGGCTCACCTGGTCACCTGCATAGAAACCAGTCACATGACATGCGTGCATGAGCAACAGAAGTCCACTTCCTCCAGCAGTATACCAGCCTTTCGCCGAAGCACATTCAGTGATATGTGGTCCTATCTTAAGCTCTGGATGAATGCTATGTATCTATGCAGCTACTCCTGCATTTTACATAATTGGTCATATTTTGCAAGGGCCTCTGTTGAGACCCACCTTCCAGCGTGATGCAGTCCATGGTGAAAGCCCTGGCCAGCTGAGTGGAAACTTCCATGCTCCGGCAAATCAGGGTTTTCCCAAAAACATGCTTAAAAGCCTTGTCAAATTTGGGATTGTACCGCAACTTGCTGATCATCGGGATTGCATCCTGGAAAAATAAATAAGGCCAACATGATGAGTCATTCTCTAATAACTTGGCAAATCCAATATAAGACTGGATTAACCCCAAATACCAAAGACGTGTGGTTGAATCACAGCCGCTGGAGGTTATTGGAATATAAAGCTCTGCAATAGGCACATGCGGTCTGCTGCCAGGTAACGGCGTACCAGCAACCAATGAGGACGAAGCCCTGCTGGTGCCATTAGGAGGTCATTAAAAGTGTCGCAGTTTTAAGAGCTGTGATAATATAGCGGTGAGAACAACACAAATAGATTTTGTGTCGTAAGGCCTGAACACTTCTTGGGACACAAAAACCAGTAACGTGTCCAAGAAAAACACAAGCAATTTATATAAAACACACTACCTACTGAATCACGAAAACAGAGCAAAGCTGGATCTGCAGTAAACACTGAGAGGCGGCGCTTACGTTGGTCTCTGGGTAGGCCGTGTCTCTGACGTCCAGTTTGCTGAGAGGAAGGAAGGTCACTTCCCCAGGAAGATTCATTTTGTTAAACTCCATCAGGATTTTGGTGCTGACCTCATCAGTTTCCACAATGTGGTAAAACAGCCTAAGAGAAATAAAATATAGATTCAATACCCACACTGCATCCATTAATTATGATGGAAAAAATGTACAGCTAGTCTTCACACTGGGTGTGGGGCGAGGGCGAACCGTGAGGGCAAACCTACTCACCTGGTGCCAGCAGTCACTTCGACACAAGTGTAGAAAGCAGGCTCGCACTCAAAATTGTTCATCACGATGCCATGGTAACCGTTAATGACGTGCTGGTTGATGCCCTTCCTACGGAAGTGCTCCAGCACCTTGTTAATGCTGTCAATGCCGTTAAGAATGGCCTGCCCAAAGAGGGAAAACAAGTCATTCACGCTTCTGCAAATGCCAGTCGTCATCAGTAGCGCCCCCATGTGGCGGCAGGAAGAACTGCGCCGACCTTTCCCGTGGCCGCCCGCAAAAGCTGCTGCTTCTTCTCCAAGTCCTCCCTCTTGGCTGCCAAGGCCTGCTGCTCCGCATTCTCCTCCCTCCACAGGTAGCTGTGGGAGGTGGGGTGGGAGAAGGCAGGGTTCAGAAATCCACACTCCCCCGGGCTTTAATCCACGATACCCCACTGCCACACCGGTCTACATGCGATCCGTCATTTCTGGTACCTTCGTTACAGGTACCACGGGCTGCTGGAAACCCACTTAGCTTCAGCTGAGCCCGATGGGAAAAGCACAGCCACCCGGGGCCCGTTTCGCGTATAACATGATCTTTTCCTGCGTGGTCCCACACGGAACACGTTAAATGTCATGACACCGCAACAATGCGGCATAAATACGGTCTCATATTAAAACACCCTCCCACAAGCTGGAAAAAACATGCATATCCTTTAAGAAAACGTCTTACTTTCTCTCGCTCTGAAGCTCATCCTTTTTGTTCTTCACCTCATAATACTTCCTGTCCAGTTCTTCAACACGAGTCTTCACCTCGTTTAAATCCTGATCCAGTTTCTAAAAGACACGAAGTATAAGGGTCACTACAAGCGTGAGAATGACCGCTGGCGGGTCGAGGGTCGGATGCTGCAGGGGTTAATCAAGTCTTCGGCAGCAGTTACCCCACAGCCTGAAAAGTAAAATGTGACAGATGCTTTGAACGGAGGACGTTTCGTACAGTGTACTGCTCCAGGTTCCTCTCCTTGTTGGCCTCAGTGTCCTCCAGGTCCTTGTGGATGGCGGCTATCTGCCGTTTCTTGTCATTGATGGCCTGGTCCAGGGATTTCAGCTCCTTCTTGATCCACTTGTCCCTCTCCTCCTTGGAGGTGAACTGACTGCCACGGCCCTGCTTGGCATACAGGTCCGTCCTTTCCTGTGTGGCCTGGGCCAACCTGTCGAGATAAAAGGAAGAGATTTAGTCTGTCCTCTCTGTCTATGTCCCAAACACAGACCTATCAGGAACAATGAATGTTAATACAAAGGTACTGGAAACTCACTGGATCAAGCAATGTCAAACAAGCCCATCGCAAGCTGTCAACAGCTGGCATAAGAAATATGGAAGCAGAAATGTCTTGCCCACACTTCCTAAAAGTCCTCTCTTTTCTCATGAATTCCCAACACGAATCGTCTGAGAACAGCCAGCGATGCGCTGGCTCAGCGCGCGGCTGCGTCACACCGACCTGGCGATGCCTCTCTCCTCCCGCTCTTTCACCGTGTTGAACTTGGGCTCCGTCTCCTGCAGCTCCTTCTGTTTCTCCTCTATCTTCTCCAGCAGCTTCTGACGCTCCTTGAGCAGTCGTTTCTAATCAAATGAAACGACACTGCTTCACAACACTGGTCCTGCTGGGCTTCAGTGTAAGGTTCAAGAAGTCGCAACGGCAAAAAACGCCAGGAAGAGGCCGACTCGGTTGAACCCAGGCAGTGAGAGGTCAGCCGAGAAGCAGAAATATTCAGCCGTGCTGAAAATCTGGAAGTAATGCTCCCCGCCAGAACCAAGGGTGACAAGACAAAGAGGAGCTGCGACAGGCCGGCCATCGAGCGTGGCGACCCGGCATAAACTCCCAGCTCCACAATAAAAACTGAGGCAGAAGCCCCACAGTCATACGGGCGCCTTCCCAGTATCCCCGGCGGCCTGCCAGAGCACTCAGGTGGCTGGCATCCAGGCCTCGCCAGTCCTCAACAACCCCACGCAAACTCAGCCTTGCCGGCCTCCCCTAACACGGCTCCCCGGAAATAAATAAATAAGATGGGACAAATAAGCGGCAAGCGGCCATGTGGCTCTGAAGGAGCGCTGCCATCCCGGCGCTCTTGATCCGGCGCCTGAGCCGCGATGACGCAGGCGGAGGCTTCCGCACCCTCTGTTCGCTGTTGCCCGCCAGCTCGTCCTGCAGGTCTTTGGCCTTCAGCTCCAGTTTGGTCCGCTGCTTGATCTGCTCCTGCCTCTCCGCACTCAGCTGCTCCTTCTCCTCCTTCATGGCGGAGATCTTGGACTTCAGCTCCCGGACCAAACGTTCCGTCTCCTTTTGGGGGGG